ACTATTTAGACCAGTGCTGTCCAATAGGATTTTGTGGGATAATGGAAATGTTCTCTGTGCTGTCCAGTTCAGTGGCAATTATCTACATGTACCTATTGAACATTTGAAATGTGGCTAATGCAACTGAAGATCTGAATTTTTAATTTTAACGAATATAAATAGCCACAAGTGGTTAGTGCTACTATATTAAACACCCAGATTTAATGTATCTATAAGATCTTGCAGCCAACTAAATCTATTTTGCCTCATATTCCTGTTAACTTAGGTCACACCGCAAAACATCGCATCATTTGGTCTCCATTCATCTTTTCACCATACAGTTCTGTTACTCCTTTACCTTAACCAAATTTTTCTCACTCTTTCCCTTCTTCAAAAAGCCTTCCATTGTGCTCTCTAAAATCCTCTTTCAAGATAAATTAATATTTTACCTCCTCAGCTTCTTTACTGAATGCTCCTTTCCATCTCCTTGCCTTAGCTGCAACTTAGTTCCTTTACTATACTAATTGCCTTGGAACTCTTTCAACTGGAAACTGCTCATTCTTTCACATCCCATATACATCAGGGTCAAGAGAAGGTGTTGGTACTCTCCTAGATTTACTTTACCCTGCAATTTCCAGGTTATCATTCCTCCACCACCCTGCAAAACTTCCAGCTGCTTTGAATCTCATATGACATCCAATTATTTCATCTCTACCTACTCATGGTAGCAGCAAGTGTCCAACTTACCAGTCACTCCTCAAAATTCATTGAGAATTTACGCACATGGCTTACAGTCTTCCATCAGAAGCCTGCCAAAGCAACCTCCATATAATTTTGTTCGAGTCTATCTTTTTTTAACTTGTTTATTGAATTCACCACAGTCTCCCACTTCCACACACTAGATCCTTATCCAAGCAGGAACATCCTCTCAATTATTTCCATCATATCTGCTCTTTGACCTCACAGGACACTTTAATTCCTTGACTTCTCTTCTCCCTCCCTATCTCTACACTTTCCCCCCACTCAACCCCAATCTTGGCTTCCTTACCTATTCACCTAAGATTTCACAATCCTCATTTCAACCACTTTTCTACCAATATCTTCAACTGCCCTACTCTTCTATTCTACAGCAGCTGCTTGGCTAAATACTAACACAGAATCAATCCAACTTCATAATTCATTTAATAAATAGTTATTGAACATGCTTGGCATTTCCCCAGGAGCTGGATATACAGTAGAAAATAAAAAATACTCATTCAAGTTCACAGGGTTAACAAATCAAAGAATCAGGACTAGAACTCGAATCTGACCCTATTCTCTCCCTTATACTTTAAGGTTTATCTGATTTCCTTACAATGTGACCACACCATCTCCCACTCCTGCTTTTAGCCGATGACGTCATCTACAACCTCTCAACTTCCAGGCACTACACCTACAAACATAAAAGTTTCTGTACACAACCACTCTTCCTCCCCCTCCTAATACAAAGGGAGAGAGTCTTCCTCCTTTCAAAGGCTAATCCATTTGTATAACTTCCTACCTTCTCAGGAATTTCAATGTATTTAGTTCCTCAACAATACATTCATATTTTAGTCCTTGACTTTCTCAAAAGCTAACTCTCCTGTAATACCCTTCTTTCACTATTCCTCAAATCTCCACCCTCTACTTTAGTTACTAGTAATCATTCTGTATACTCCCCTAGACTGTAAGCTCCATCCAGCTACTATTTTTATTGTATTCGCAACTGGATGCTCAATCCTTACTAGAATTTAAG